TGCAAGAATTTAGACAAACTCTTCAGTGAATGCTTACAAATTATAAACAAACTGGGGGAAGAACATGCACCACAAAAGGGTCTAAAATGTCCAGTTTTTTAAAAGCTACTGCTTAATCCACTGTACAGCCATGAGAAGCAATCCCATGGGCTGCTTTGCCTCTAGAAAGCTATCCAATAGCTCAGTAGTGATTCAGCAACTCTTTCCCATAATGGTGTAATCTTGTGGTTTGTGATTTACTCTTGTCTGTAGCTCTGCTAATTTAAATATGCAGACATGTACCTAAGTAATATTTATTCTATAGCCCAAAGGCAGTAGTGGTAGAGAGGCCTGGACTCTACCTAAACTCAGTCCCTGGTTTAGTCACAAACTTCACACTTGAACTTGGACAAATCTCTTACTCTACCCCATAGCTCAAGAGCATAGGGATTAAAACTATCCTTCCTCAGAGATGAATTACTGATTAAGATCATTAATTATTATGAGGTAGTGAAAATCATGATAATGAGGATCATAAAAGTACTGAGACAAGAACAGAAATGGGTCTATTCTTTCCTTGATATGCAAATATAGAGTAGCACCACTGAGTGCTTCCTATATATATTCAAATGGATGGGTAACTCTTTAATGGCTTTAGCAACATTTTATATTAATTATTTTCAAAACTTCCTTACAATACATATTTTTATGTAGCTAGCATATAATACACTGATGAAGCAAAAAAAATTTGTAAAGTCAGATCTAAGGATGACTACTATATCTGTCTTTCACTGATCCCTAAAGAAGAATATATCTCCCTTTCACTTATCCTTACTCTTTGTAGGACAACACTTCTTCAAAATCTCTCTCTTCCTTTCTTTATTACTGCTACTGATGCTGCTATGTGCAAAATCTTGTTTCATAATTTTTTACTGGAAAGCAGTAGACCAGAAAATAAAATTTTAAAAAATCTCCATAAGAAAGGAAGACAATTGAAATGGCAGAGGAATTGCAAATGGTAGGAATGCCTAGAACATATTATTATCTGTAGAAGCAAATTGCATTTTAGGGCACTGAGATTTTTTAAACCAAGAACTGCTTCTGCATGTGTGTGACTCTGAGATATCTTTGTTTCTTCTCAGGCTTCTGTTCCAACTATGAAGGCAGAAAACAATTATTTAATTAAATTCTGCGTAGGAGGCAAATACATAAGTTACACCTGTCTCTCGTTTTCACTGCCCGCCCCTCCTCTATCCAGACTCTCAGAGAAAATTATCTTTGATTCAAACTACTTTTTTAATTTGCTGGCAAACTTTGTATCTGCCCTGCAATTCCATGTTCACTAGATGGGGAAAATGGAGAGAGGAATTTACTGCAACAGCCCAGTTGAAAAGAGCCTACAGTAAATGACTGAGCTGCCACAGAAGCATCCCATGAAAAGGATTCTAAATAGGCAGATACCCTGTCTGCTCCTACACTGCTCCTGGAAGGTAATTTGTAATACCAGTTGCAAATGATTACCCCTATCTGTATCCTTGATGTTGCCTCAGCTGTTCCACTGTGAAAAGCAGACAGGACTAATGGAGCCAGCCACTACCCATTCCTTAATGACTCAATGCCCACCTGCTGTGAGGAACAAGGAAATGGGTGTATGCATGCACTTACTTGTGTTTGCATTCAAGATGTGAGGGAGGAAGAGGGGGTGCTACTCTTCCATGTTCGCTTGCCATATGTGTGGTGTCCGAGTTACGATCTAGCCTTTAATTCTTATTTTCGGTTTACTTGAATGAAACAACCTTTAATATCACAGAGTTTTTCAAGAATGCCTGAAGACATCATGATCTCATAGATCTCAATATAGCTGCTAAAGAAGGGGTATTCAAACTGTAGACATGTTCTAGCAGATTTTGTGAGGTATGCCGGGATGAGATGGTATATGAGACATTCTCTTGGTAGTTTTTGTATTCCAGTACTTGGCCTTTACCTTGAACATTAATGAAAACAACTACAGAAGAAAATTCATTGTAAACAGAATGGAAAAATGTGTATACATAGTATATTATGGAAAAACAGTAAATGCACCTAAGCAGCTGAAAGGAGCTCAGAGTAGGATTGGTATTATTTGTGGCTCAGCAAAAGATACAACATTCAAAATCTGTCACCAGTTTTAAGAAGTGACAAAAATAATGCTATTAAAAAACAAAATGGGGGTTGGGCTTCAAGCTTATCTTTATTATTGAATTGTAATGGTTCACCCCCGTGCTTTATCCATCACACAAAAATTTCTATATAAATTATAGAGTACACAAAAAGCCAGGAATGTATTAAATCAACCTTTCCCATATCTGCTGTTTTGATTCATGTCTACTCTCTGCATAATTTAACATTTCTGTTCTCCTACTATATCATATAACACCATGTCCCTATTTCATGTTGCTGCTTCTCTCCCACCATTTTTAGCCATTCTATTTTTTACTCCTTGATAGTTCATCAGCCTTAAATGGGGCTGCCTGAACTAGTGCAATGGTGCCTCTCGTAGGCTACCAATGGAGACTTAGCAAAGCAACTACTTGTCTTCAGAACAAAACAATTATAAAATAAAAACAAAGAAATGGAGAAATGTGAGCTAGGCAGAATTACTATTAGGTGCTTACATAATCAGCTGAATACTTACAAGTAAAGGGTAACTATAAATTATCTATGTCATGACAGGAGATTTCAAGGTCCCTTCTGACATTTTTATTAATAACTTGGATGGATGCAGAAATAGAGAGCTTCCTGGTCAAGTTTGCAGATGAGGAACGGCTGAAAGAGGTAGGGGTATTTAGTCTGGGGAGAGAAGACTGAGGGTTCAAGGACCTGAAGGGCAAGTATAGAAAGGATGAAGATGGGCTTTTCTCAATGGCTGTAGGGGACAAGACTAGGAGCAATGGACTTAAGCTGCAGCACAGGAAATTTAGGTTGGAGATTAGGAAAAACTTTCTAACTATGAAGATGGTCAAGAATTGGAACAGGTTACCTGGAGAGTCGTGGAATCTCCATCTCTGCAAATTTTCAAGAGAAGGTTAGACAGACACTTGGCTGGGACAGTTTAATCAGAGATGATCCTGCCTTCAGTGGGGTGGCTGAACTAGATGATCTTATTAGGTCCCTTCCAGCCCTACTCTCCTATGACACAAAAGTGGAGGACTTGCAAACACTTGTGGTGTAGTGTTAGAATTCAAAAGGATATAAGGTGCTATGCCTAAGGAGGTAAAACCAAATCAAGAAACACAGCATCACTCTGCAATGTTTTTGTGTAAAATTCAGATCTCCTCAACAGTATAAAACTTCATGGGACAAGAAGTATTTGTGAACCTAGATAACCTGTGAAATATATACATTATCACCTTTAATTACTAGCAGCCATTCTGAGCTTAATATTGGAGATACCCATTTTGCTAAAAAGTAAGATTATATGTTGAGCTGAGCAATTACCACAGAAAAGTACCATATTTTCTCAAATACCATGTGCCCCAAAATAAGACACACTTTATTTTTCACAGGAAGAATGTAGAGAAAAGATTTTTCCAGGGAGCCATGGCCCAATGTGACACAGAGTACTGGGCTCTTGTACATTTGATAGGTTTGTAGTCCTTAAGGTTGCATCTATGCCCCCTAAATTGAAACGGTGAGTTTTTAATTGAAACGGTGGGTTTTACTTTTCCATCACTGTATATATATTATTGTCCTGCTGGCTGCAGGTGCCTGATTCTCTTTTTTTGTTGTTTTTTTGGCAGAGCCTGTCTGCCTCTCTAGAAGGCAGGGGGCCATTAATCTGTGGTAGTACTCCGTCAGCTGACCCCCCGGCCATAAGAGAACCAAGCAGGCTCCACAGAAAAAAAGGATCAGGAGCCTCACTGCTTCTGCCATCAGCAGGCTCCTGCAGCTGGCAGAATGCCTGGGGCTGCCCGGGATGGGGTTGGTTTGCCCCTGGGGCAGTGCAGGGAGGTGGCGGGAGTGTGGCTGGGTGTGCTGGTGGCTGGAGAAGGTGGCAGGGATGGTGCATAGGATGCTGGAAGCCCATGCAGACTCAGAAGCTAGCAGCCTGTCTGGGCAGCCCCATGCCCTCTATACCACCCCCACCACCTTCTCCAGCCACCAGCACACCCAGCCACCCTCCTGCTGCCACCCCACACTGCCCCAGGGGCAAGCCAGACCATTCCCAGGCAGCCCCAGGTGTCTTGCTGGCCACAGGAGCCTGCTGAAGGCAGAGGCAGCAAGGGGCCTGATCCTTTTTTTTCTGCAGAGCTTGCCCACCTCTCCCATGGCTGCAGGGAACCTGACTAATGTCTGCAGTGTTCCAAGTTGCAACATTGCAAACTAAACTATATTGGGATGTAGTTTAGTTTGCAATGATGCAAACTCATTTAAACCCCCCCAAACTTGTATACATGTAATTTGTGATGCCATTAAGGCACAGAAAGGGAAATTTTCATCATGTGTACATTGTGACATTGTCACATGTACAGGCACCCAGTAAGTCTGCTTGGAAACAGAGAGTGTCCAGGAAGTGTGGCATCCCAGGAGCCAGTCTGGATGAGGTGTCAGGAACTTCCTGGTGTGGCAAGAATAGGTCCCAAGCCCTTACAAGTGCAGTAGCAAAGCTCTTCCTGCTTTACTGTACATAGCTCTTGATAGAAGTTCTTGTAAATAATGAAGTATTGTTTCCACACCCCAACCTTCATCAAGATAGAATAGACCACATGAAGCAGCTTATTTGCCCAAACCAGCTCAACTGCTGCTTCACAAGCTACGGTGCTCCAGCAAAACCTACTGCAGTTTCCTTAGCAATTATAAGAGGTTTAACAGTGGACTCTCCCCTGCTGTTTGCTGGGCCAGAGAGAAGCGGGAGCCATTTTAACAGCCATTAAAACATGCCATCTCCAAGCTTCTAATCCTCTATGTGTTTAGGGTGCGTCTACACATTACCGTACAGTGACATTGCTATGGCACCATATTTTAGTATTTCCTTTTGGAAGTACTAAAGCATGGTGCAGTATGGGTGATTACTGCACTGTGCATGTGGAGCACAGTTAAATTTCACCACTACATTGCCTTAGTGGCGTGCTATACCTGAGGAGCACACTGCTATGGTGACATAGCTGGCAATCATGTATAGACATACATGATTGCTATGTCACCATTGTGTGCCATATGGAGACAAAGTGCATTGCTACGTTGCCGTGGGGTGACATGTAGATGCACCCTTAGTTAAACAAATAAAAATCTGCTTTGCCTGTTAAGACACACACACATAAAAGCTGTTACAGTATTCAATTAAATGAACAGGCAACTATATTTCTGAGAAACATCTGGAGGTCATGGTGGATCACAAACTCAGCATGAGTCAACCATGTGATGCAGTTGCAAAAAAACCCCAAATACAATTTTGGCTGCATTAACAAAAGTAGTAGCAGAAGAATGCCACTCTATTTGTCAAGCCTCACCTGGGATATGGTAATCAGCTCCATGTTCCACATTTTCTGAAAGATGTAAAGGAACTGGGGAGGATTCAGAGGCAAGCAACAAAGATGATAAAGGGACTGGAATGTGAGATACATGAGGAAAGGTTGAATGATCTAGATATGTTTAGTTTGAAGGGAAAAAAATAAGGGGGGATTTGATAACAGTTTTCAAATATTTGAAAGGCTGTCACAAAATGGATGAAAGACACCTAATCTCCCTTGCCACAGAAGGTAGGGTATGAAGCAATGACTTTAAATTTCACCAATACTGATTTTATATTAAATCTCAGAAAAAGTTTCTTACTCTCCAAACTGTAAGAAAAAGCTGCATAGGGAAGTTGTGGAAATCCCTTCACTTTTAATTTTTATGGTTTTCTTGTTCATTCTTCTGTTTTATAAGTTATTCTGTTCTCTTACTGTAAGCTGACCTGAGCCTTTGTTAGGAAGAGTAGTGTATAAACTATCTAAATAAATAATACATTGGCGGTTTTCAAGAACAGACTGGCAGGCATTGAAATTGCATTTGAGCAAAGGGTTGGACCAGACAACCCTTAAGATCTCTTCTAACTCAGTGACCCTACAGTTCACTCCAGTGTTTTACTAAGGTTATGCTGATGCTTCTCCACTGAATCTATGGAAATGCATCAGTGATGAAAGAGGCTCACAAGATGCCCCAGTTGAGCAGATCACTTAAAGCTGAATGGGAGCTTCATTTAAACTACCTGCAGGACTGACTTCGAGGATATATTTAAATGCTTTGCTAAATTGGGACCCCAATAAACAAATGTACTATGCAACCATCCATGTGTGAAAGGAAAGCATAGGTAACATGTAGCAGCCCAAATGTTCTCAGATGTTCCCTAAATATCCAAGCTGTAATTTTAAGGGACCCTAAATCTTTCACCCCTTACTTGATCAATATTTACATCTGAGAAATCAAAAAAACTATGCCTTCTAATAGTAAGTGTATTTAAAACCTGCATGTGCCCCCACTGGCCTGACTTGCTCTGTTGCTGTTACAGTCTGAGAACCAAGTGTTGCCTTGTAGCAGAAATTAGCAACCTTTTCATCCCAGTTTCACTGAGTTGCACTGAGGATGCTTATAAATATTCATTGTGCATTTTAAAATTCTCCCTCACCTCAATTAGCATAAGAAATCACTTTATGTTTTAAATCCACAGACGGAAGCCAAGTCTGAAGTCAAAGGCACTCAATCACTATAGTGATGAGGGACATGTAAGTGTGAAGATGGCTAGAAAGGAAAGGCAGCTTAAGATACAGAAATCACATAGAACAAAGCTAACCTAAGAAAGAACTAGGGAAAAAAATGTTCTTGTAAAAAATGGGAAATGCTAATTAGGGTTGAGGCTGTACCGTAGGGTTGCTTGGAACCTACCTGAAATTTCCTTCGGTATCTGCCTAAGGCACAAAGTTTGGACCTTATTTTTATACTTTATTCAAAGCAGAGCACTCCTGAATACCCAACGTTTCCCAGCACCACACTTTGCCCCTGGTGTAGTATTGGCTGAGAGGGAAAAGAATCTTAAATTCTCTGATATACCTCTAGGTTCAGATTCAAATCTTCCTGAACCCTGGTAGCGGTCAGATCCAGGTCTAAGCTTTTTTACTCAATTTCTGCAATCTGTTCTTTGGCAACCCCAGTTCATGTATTAATGAGGCTGGACCTTGCTTATCTAACATGTTAAAGTGCTAGGCTGAGGCTTCAACAGCTTTAAGATTTCAGCCACATGAGGTGCCTATACATGTGCAGTGAGGCTGCTCGGACACACTGTAATTACAGTGTGTTGGAGCAGACTCAATTGATTTAGAGGTTTATCGAGTCTGCTGGAGCCTGGTAATTACCGTGCTCCAGCAGGCTTCAGCATCTCACATATCAGTGTCCCCACACTGAAAAATGGCAGCGGGGAACTTTAACTAAACCTTGTTGAATGAGCTTTAGTTAAAGTGCTCCCAGTGCCATTTTTCAGCATAGGGATACACTACACACTCCAGGCGCTTTAATTACAGTAGCTCTCAGAGCTTTTCCCTCGCCCCACACCCAGAGCAAGGGTATAAAATGAAGCCTCAAACCTATTACTGAGATTCCGTAACGGAAGGTAGTTCTTGTACAATGCTTTCAATTGCACTAATACATTTTCTAATATTAAGCTCTCAGAATAATTCATAGGTCTCTGCATTGGTTGCTCATCTGCATATTCAGCCTTATTTCATATGCATTAGCTAACCATGTGCTATTAAATTAAATGGTTTCAAACAGAAATGTAAGAGGATGACAACCCAGTTATTTAGACCTAAGAGGGTCTGTTCTTCTCTTCTTACATTTAGACCTAAGAGAGCTGTTCTTCTATTCTTTTTACATAATAACTGAATGGAAATTTTGTAATATATCCCATAATGACAACCTTGGATGTTGTTATTGAGGGTAATGATTATCCCTGTAAAACACTGGTGGCCTGGCTTAATGCACTTTGGGTCCATCAAAAGCCAACTGCAGTTGATAGAAATATTGCCACTGACCTCAATAGGCTTTGAATGATTCTATCCTCACAATAAAATTGCATCTCCAAAGAAAAGGCTAATGGATACAGTTGGATATGAAACCCTGGATGGGCGAGAATCTTTAACTGCGGATTTTTAAATAGTCACGTCTCTGCCACCATCCCTCTCTGTATCTACTTTGCTAGATAAGATTAAATGCCTTGACTGGTCATTGGACATAAATTTAATAAATGTAGGGCCAGGGAAGGAAATAAAACCATGAAATGTTTATCTACATAGTATACAGCATCTATATACTAGATACTTTCGATAGATATTTAAGACCTAACTCTATTGTGCTCTGTAATTTGTGTAGCCATTTATACCAGTGCAAAGTTCCTGTAAAACACTGCCAGAATTAATTTGTTTCTGAATTAAAATTGTTAGAATTTAAATTTCAGTATCATGAATCACATGGGTCTAGTTTTTTAAAAAGTTTCTAAGGTGAAGTGCATTTTCGCAGCAGGTAGCTTGGTATTTGAACTCTGACTCTACCCTGCCAAAGGCTAGTATCAACAATCAGACCAAATATGCTGCTTAAGGGATCATTTTTATTAGTTTATGGTTGGGTGATGGAGTGCTTGTAAGCCTTTGATCAGTGATTCCTAACTTTATTTGACTCCAAGCACCCCTCAGAAAATGCCAGCTCTTAGCTTTCACTTGTTTCTTGACTACTACTAATAATAGAGCTATTCTTCTGTTGAAAAGAACTTGGGAAGACCACAAGTGGTCAGAATATTTTTGACACTGAGGGTGTTGGCAGATGTGCAGCTCCCCCACTGTAACTCATTGCACTTCACAGAAAGTACCATGAGTTACAGCAATCCCTCTCCGCTCCCACCTCCAACCCAACAGACATTCTCTGTTGGCTCCAGGGTGGTGGTGGATTGAGCTCCACCTTGGAGCTGGCTGCATGTCTGCAGTCTCTTTCCCCTAGCTCCCCCCTGCCCCCTGCTCTGGTGCTGTCTTCAGGATGGGGGTGGGGAAGGGAGAGGAGGGAGCTTGGTCTGGGGTTTGTTGCAGGATCGGGCACTTCTAAAATGCTCTGCAGCTGTGCACTTCTGTCAGGGCATGGCTGTAGAGCACTTTCAGGGAGCCAATTATGTGACAAAGCATAACTTCTGTCAGCACCCTATGGACTCCTATTTGAAATCTTTTGGTTTATTTCGCAAATCATACGGAGGTGCTCGCATACCTAGGATTATGCAGCACCCCATGACACCTTTAAAAGAATCTCAAGTTCCTTCTTAATTGTTCCTACACAGGGATTGAGGAAGTTTCCCCTATCTTTGTATTGCATAAAGCACCATTATCATGCAACTGAGAACCTGACCAATGGTTACTTCTCTGGGTATTAGTGCCAGCAATGCTACAGGAAAAAGAATGCTGCATGCTTGCTGAGAAACAAAAGAATCATGGAATATCGAAAAATGTATACTTATTGTGAATTTCTGACAGCAGCATCTTCCTTTCTTTACTGCTAGATATGGCCACTAAGAAAATGAAATGCAGCCTCACAAAATCATTCAGCTAAATGGTTCTGTGGCAACCACACACAGATAAACATGTTATATTATTTAAAGAAAGAAAGAAAATAGGAATTCACAAGAAACTGAAATCCAAGCAGTTTTCTTAAACAGAGAGTGCAAGGATGCAAAATTGAGACTGACAGTTTTGGTGCATGTTACTTAGCCTTCAACTTTAAAAGACAGTTAAATAAAATCAGTCTCTAGCTAACAAGGTCATGATTCTTGTACCATTTACCCTGATGAAGGTTTCAGGGGAGTAGTGTAAATGACACCAGAATCTGACATCTGCATACTTCTCTCAGACTACCACTACTCTTTTGCAATTTTTATGTTTTTAAGGTTACCCAAAACTAACTAGATTTCTTCTTCCTCTGCCTGCACAATCCCTGTAATCAGTCCCATTTGTTCCTTCTTCCTATTTCTGGATTTTTTGTTCAAGACTTTGACCTGGTGAATGCTAATGCTGAGCCCCTATAATGAAACATCTT